ACTGAAATAATGTGTATGAAGCACTGAGAGTGCTGGTTGTTAGGAAATGACACATTACTTTATGAATAGTTCTCTTCCAGTCCAAAGCTTCAGGTGAATACTGCAGACTGTAGGCCCAGATCCTCTTATTTATCCCACCCTTTCTCTAATGAGCTCAGAGGGGCAAATATCATTTTACCACCTCAACTTCCTCCTGACAAAAGCCCAGTGAGGTGGGTTAGGTGGGAAGAGAGTGAGCAACCAAAATCAATTCATGGTAGAGTGGAGATAGGGTTGCCAGCCCCCCTGGTGGTGGTGGGGTTTCCTGCCACCAGGCCCCGCCCCTACCAACTTGTCAGTGGGAGGACTTATCAGGAGAAAGAGGATGGCCCAATGATGTCACCAGTGATGTGGTGGTGCCACTTCCTATGCACACAGGAAGTGATGTAATCATATCAGTGACATACAGGCGATGCTCTTGTATTTGGGCAAAAATTCCATGGTAGCAGCCATTTTTACCATAGAATTTTTGTCCAAATACCAGAGTATTGCTGTGATGTCACAGCATGATGATGGCAATGTTGCCATTGCTGGTAATGTTGCCTGGGCCACCCTCCCTCTCCTGCTAATTCCCCCCCATCCCCTGATGGTTGCCAGGAGAAACTTGGCAACCCTAAGTGGAGATTTGAAGCTGAGTCTTCCACACCACACCACATAAGAAGAGCCCTGCTGGATCAGGCCAGTGCTTCATCTAGTCTAGCATCCTGTCTCTCACAGTGCCCAACCATTTCCTCTGGAGGGCCAACAAGAGGGCACAATGACCCAAGCATTCCCCTAATGTTGCCTCCTCGTACTGGTATTCAGAGGTTTACTGCCTCCAAACATAGAGAGTTTCCCTCTAGTCACCATGGCAAGCAGCCACTGATAAACCTATCCGCCACCCTGGCTGATTCTTTTGCAGTTGCAGTGAGGAGTGGTCTTGGCTTGGGGCAGGGGAGAGAGTCGTGGGATGAATATCTCATTATCCTGCTTAAAATGTCTGTTCGATATCTATTTTATTGCTGATTCCAAACCATGCTCATTATCTCATGCCAGGGCTTTGTCTATCCGTTTCTAGTAACTGTACCAGACTTCTACCAGCCATCGTGGTGGAAAGGAGCCATCTTGTAATGGTAGCAATCCATCTTTTCAGAAGGTTGGGAAAGCATGCTGACAACGTTTGCTTGGCTGTCTTGAGACCCACGAGATAATGAAGAAGGCCTCTAACACATATGTAGAAATGGCTCTGGTCACAGAAAGCCATAAGAGGCAGAGGTGGCAAAGCAGGAGCTCTGCCCACTATGTTCCTTTAACATCCTAACTAGAATCTAACCAAACTATGAGACTGTCTTCTTTTTCAGTGTTATTGGTTAGTTGCTGTCACAAGATAGAAAGGTCCAGGAAGTGGTTCTCCTCTAATGTATGTAATAGCCATAGCAGCATAACTGTATGTATATAATAGGGCATAACTCATTAGCATAACTTATTTGCATATGCCACGCCCCCTGACATCACCGGAAGTGACAGAAGGCCACACCCCCTGACATCACCGGAAGTGTGTCAGAAGGCCCGGCTACTTACCCTCCTGCTTCATCCTCATTCCCAAACGGAATGAGGATCGAAGCAGAGGGCGGGGTAAAGAAGGGGGCGGGGCTTCACCACATGACCGCCCCGCCCCCTAGAGGTTCTCTTCCGGAGCTCCGTACCTGAGAGCTCCCCCCCGACTAGAGCCCTGAATATATGTAATAGCCATAGCAGGATAACTGTATGTATATAATAGGGGTAGTTGTAATAGGCTAGCAAGATTTTGGGTTCGTTCATTTTTGTTCCCCAAAGGGACTCAAACTGGGTTTCTGTGGAATAGCTTGGCAGGCAGGAAAGTCAGCAAACCATTTGCTCAGTAAACAGCCAGTTACTCCAATGTGGACTCATGAGGAGCCCACATTGGACTCTTCACATTGGACACATTGGGCATCACTCCCTATGAACCTCCACAAATTTCTTAAAAATTCATGAAGGGTTGTGGCCGGGCTGCAGTTTGCGAACTTCAGTTCACAAACCACGAACCGCCCAAAATTCATCATGAACAAAGGTTTGTGAGTAAATTTGTGACCATCCCTAATTTGGAGTTTGCCTCATAACCCATTCCCAAACCCCTCAGAGATTACAGTACATAAGAACATAAGAGACGTCAATGTTGGATCAGGCCAAAGGCCCATCCAGTCCAACACTCTGTGTCACACAGTGGACAGAAATAAATATCCTTTTTAAGGTGTGGTGCCCAGAACTGCACACAGTATTCCAAATGAGGTCTCACCATTGATTTATATAGGGGCATTATTATATTGGCTGATCTGTTTTCAATACCCTTCCTAATAATCCCCAGCATAGCATTGGCCTTCTTTATTGCAGTCACACACTGTCTCGACATTTTCAGTGAGTTATCCACTACAACTCCAAGATCTCTCTCTTGCTCAGTCTCTGCCAGTTCAGACCCCATCAATGTGTATTTATATTTAGGATTTTTGGCTCCAATGTGCATCACCTTGCACTTGGTCACATTGAACCCCATTTGCCATGTTGACGCCCACTCGCCCATCTTTGACAGATCCCTTTGGAGTGCCTCACAATCCTCACTGGTTTTCACCACCCTGAACAACTTTGTATCATCTGCAAATTTAGCCACTTCACTGCTTACTCCCATCTCCAAATCATTAATGAACAAGTTAAAAAGCAGTGGACCAAGTACTGATCCCTGCGGTACCCCACTGCTTACCACCCTCCACTGAGAAAATTGCCCACCTACACTCACTCTCTGTTTTCTATGAACTAGCCAGTTTTTGATCCATAAAAGGACTTGTCCTTTTATCCCATGATTTTTGAGCTTACTTATGAGCCTTTGATGAGGAACTTTATCAAAAGCTTTCTGGAAGTCAAGGTAAATAATATCTATTGGATCCCCCTTGTCCACATGTTTGTTCACCCCCTCAAAGAACACTAATAGGTTAGTGAGACAAGATCTTCCCTTACAGAACCCATGTTGAGTCTGCCTCAATAGGTTTTGTTCATCTATGTGCCTACTAATTCTTTCCTTAATAATGGTTTCCACCAATTTACCCGGTATCGACGTCAGACTGACTGGCCTGTAATTTCCCAGATCTCCTTTGGAACCCTTTTTAAAGATGGGAGTGACATTAGCTACCTTCCAGTCCTCAGGAATGGAGGCAGATTTTAAGGAAAGATTACATATTTTTGTCAGGAGATCCACAAGTTCACATTTGAGTTTTCAAAACTCTCGGATGTATGCCATCTGGGCTTGGTGATTTATCAGTTTTTAAACTCCTGTCCATCTCATAGGTTTGTCCAACCTGATGCATCAGGAGTTGTGAAGACTGCTAGGATGAGTTCCTCCTCTCCCACTTTGTTGGTACAGAAGGACCTGGAAGATTTCCATCCGGGTTCCATCCACACATGACTGGATACCATGCTGTCATTAGCCCTCTTCAAATACCTGATGAGGTGATGGTCAAGGATTAACTGGGGGAGGGAGGTGATTTAAGTTCACCCTGCTAGGTATAGAAGGTGTTGGACACCTTTGCTTTGTAGCATTGGGCTGACTGGCCCAAACACCATCCACTTTCATTACACCAACAACTTTTTATACCAGCAACTCCTTCACTGTTGACATCAAACCCACTGCGCCTTTCTTCCATTTCTGTAAACAACCACAGGTCTTTCTGCACCCCATTTCTTTCCTGTTCCCTTTGTTTTAACCACGTCCCACAGGCATCTCAGTACTTGAACAGCTCCCTCTGCTTTTCTTTCTTTCTTTCTTTCTTTCTTTCTTTCTTTCTTTCTTTCTTTCTTTCTTTCTTTCTTTCTTGTTCTATTTCTGTAGAGCGCTGTTCTTATAGTTGACAGCAACATATATACATGTCTCTCTCTTTGTCAGCAGTTCATGCAACAAGAGAGTCCCTAGTGCCGGCAGGCAATGCAGTTGGGCTGGCTGCGTGTGGAAAAACTGGCACTGACTCCACCATACCCACTTGAATCCAAGGATAAATGGAGCAGTGGAGACCTAGTGCTGAAGATATTTCCCATCCTCACATTTTAAAGATGTGTTTTAATCCGCAGAACATTTGCATCATCAGTTCACATGATCATATGTGGGTCAGTGTTATAGTATGTATTCATAAACAAACAAATTTGGGCTGTTTGATATAATCAGCCATTTGGAAATAGAGGGTTAGAGAGTCCAGTGTTTAGCTGTTTGGGTATCCTAGCAGCCATGGGAACACTCCAGATCACACTGTACTATGTGGAATGGGGAGCGCTGCTGAAGAGCCAAGGATAATATTCAGAGGACCGATTTTTATAACCTTTTATCAATTCAGTGATATAAATAATTTTCCTCCAATATTTCTGAATGGCAGGATATCACTCAGGTTGCCAATAGTGTGAGATATGTTGAAAATGCGATGTGGCATAACATACCAAAGCAACATACAAATGCTTAGTAAGGAGGGTGGACCATTGACAAATAGTAGTTTCCAATTCAAAGTCAGGTTCATTTTCTTTTAAAATTATTGCCCGTGTACACTGTTCCTTAAAACAGAAGAACAGAATACATTTCAGAGTTGGGTTTTTGGGGAGGGGGGTGTTAGAATTTATGTGACCTCTCTGGGAATGCTTTTAGGCATACCTGCATGGCTTCTAAAAAAAAGAATATTTTCATGCTGGCTCTCCAGGAACTTGCCCAAGCCGGTTTACAAAATAAAAATAAGAAAAACAAATTGTTAAAAGCTCTTAATTTAAAACAGTTATTAATTAAAACCCAGCATTAAAATACCTCCAGTCTACCATAAAAACACACATGATAAAAGCAGACTACTGACAGCTTAAAATAACAGTCTCCGGGCTAAAATAGTGTTTTTAAAAAACCAAACCCTTAATTAAAAGCCTGGGGGCTTTTGCTCAAGGGAGGGGCTGTGGCTCAGTGGTAGAACCTCTGCTTTGAATGCAGAAGGTCCCAAGTTCAATCCATGGCATCCCTAGTTAAAAGGATCAGGTAGGAGGTGATGTGAAAGACCTCTGCCTGAGACCTCAGAGAGCTGCTGCCAGCCTGAGTAGACAGTCCTGACCCTGATGGACCAGTGGTCTGATTCAGTATAAGGCAGCTTCATGTGTTCATGAAGAGACATTTCTGGGTCTGGTGCCTAAAAGAAAGCAAAATAGGCATTAGGAGAGCCTCAAGGGGAAGGGCATCCACCATTGTGCCCACTCCAAGTTGCAATCAAGGAGAGTGGATGAATCTATGTGGGCACTGGCACAGCTACCCATGGCCAACCTTCACAACTTTTTAGCATTGATTATGGATCAATGACATTATGGGCCAGTATGGGAAACTAGAAGCATTCACAACCTCCAGGACTTTGCATTTTTCTCTTAGTCATGGCAGATGATTGGTCTGCTTATTGTTTCCACTTCTGATTAGCGGACACATGCCTGGAGCCATGGAACTACCTTCTATCGAATGAGACCTTTGGTCCATCAAGGGCAGGTCCATCAAGGCCTGCTACCTGATCCGTTTCACTGGAGATGCCAGGGATTGAACTTGGGACCTTCTGTATGCCAAGCCAATGGCTCAACCACTGAGTCACAGCACTATTTCTAAATGGTGACCTAGCACTGTATGCACACTTCATGGGCCACCATAACGATGTACCATCCAGCCTCTCAAAAAGGGAGAACTACGTTGCTTATTCCAAAACCACTGTTGTCACTACTCAACTAATGAGGAGACCTTTGTTTGTATAATCTAGGGTTTTTCCAGGTCTTGGAAATACCTGGAGATTTTGAAGGCAGAGCCTGGGGAGGGCAGGGTCTCGGGAAGGGAGGGGCCTCAACGTGATATAATTCCATAGAGTCCACCCTCCAAAGCAGTCATTTTCTCCTGGGAACTGTCCTTGATTGGCCAGAGAACAATTGTAATACCTGGAGAACTACAGTTGCCACCTGGAGGTTGGCAACCTTAAAATCTCCTTCAGAGTGTGTGTGTGTGTGTGTGTGTATTTAATTCAGTGTTTCTTGCAGATCCAATTTCAAATTCACCGTTAGACAAAATTTTCAGCTCTACTTTTGAACTGTTTTGGCATTTCACTGACAAGAGCAAATGACTATTGCAAAGACATCCCGGAGCTGATTAACTTTCTTCCCTCTCTTGCTGGCCTCTCTCATCATTCACAAAAATCTCAAGAGGACAATAGATTTTCCCTGGTCCCTTTATTTGTATTTGTGTGTCATTGTGACAAGGTTGCCGAGACCTTTTTATGGTTCGTTGCCTTTCCCGTCCATCCGGAGGTAGACGGGCTCCTTAATGGTTTCAGAAATGGAGGTAACAATTTTCTGTGTGCCTGAGGGCAACATGTGATTTCGGCATCCTCCGCTCTGTGTGAATCATTTCCTTCTTGTTCTACTGTCTCCTTTAAAAAGAGGAGAGACTTTGCAAGGTCCTTGTGAGGCTCAAGCTGGGTCCAATTCCAGCTGATTGTCGGCGGAAGATTTCAAGCCATGTCTTGGGGCCCAGGAGTACCACCTTAGTAGTTTTTCAGGAGTTCTTCTCAGTCAGAAAGGGTCAACACAGACGAAAAGCTGGGATACCTGAGAGCAAATCATCCTACCATTTTTATAATGCTGTTCGATGCTAATCCCTGACCTGGCTAGACTCTTGGAAGATAAGCAGGGTTGGCCCAGGTCAGTATTCGTAAGGGAGACCACCAATGCTCCCTCTAAGCTGTGAAGTCTTGTGAGCAAAAATCCTACTTTGTGAGCTACTGGCATTAAAGCTGTGAGCGAGCCATTTGGCTACTGCGTAGACTAGTTTGCTCTGGAACCGTCCTTCCTGAGCTAAGACAAAAATCTGTGAGTCGGAGGCTAAAAAACTGTGAGCTAGCTCACTATAACTCGGCTTAGAGGGAACACTGGAGACCACCAAGGAAGCTGAGGGTTGCTATGCAGAGGCAGGCAATGGCAAGGCCCCTCTCTCTCTCGCCTTGGCGACCCCACCGGGTCGCCATATGTCAGCTGTAATTTGATGGCAAAAAAAAAGAAAAGGAAATGTTACATACAGGCTCAGTTTGGATCTGGGTTACAAAAGGGAAGGGAAAGTTTATCTCTTCCCTGTTCTTTTGCCAATCAAAATACACTCCACAGCAGTGGTGGTGGTGGTGGTGGTGGTG